TAAAGTAATCAAGTATTTCTACTTAGAAAGAAAGACAGTAAAACGCCTTGACAAGGGTTTAAACATGGTATTGAAATATGTAAGAGACAAGAGTGTATAACGAATTATTACATTGAGCAAGGGTGAACATACCAAACAAACAAGACTGATATCTCAGAATCACAAGGAGGCAATTAAAAATAGGGATTAGTATACAATTTTGAAAATTGGTAATAACTGGAAAATTTACAAAAATCAAAATAGTTCATATACTATCCACCAGATATTAGAATCGAAATGCTGTGAACAATTATGTTTGTTCTGTGAGGTGTGTAATCATATGTTTTCATGTGCCTATACAGAAAGAAAAATTATGTGCAAACATATCCATATGACAATAAAAAAATCTACAAAAACAGAAAAACATTTTAGTTCGACTGATAGAGACATTTCAATATCTAAATCCTTATCAGCTCTGGGAAAAGAACATCAAGGAATCAAACATAGGACGGAGAATAGATCAAACAAAAGAATTGATAATGAAATTAGAAAGTTTAGATTTTCATCAGCTTGATGATGACACTATCAATAAAATACATCAGCATTTATCCATAATAAATATATAACTTGGCTAAATGCACAAAATTGATAGAAAAGGATAATGAATTGAAACCCAAAAATAAATCTTCTAAAAGATACATCAACAAAAAAGAAATGCGTTCAGAAAAAAGCATTTCAACGGGCCTCCCCACGAAAACTGACAACAATTCAAGAAAACCTATTACACGCCCCTGAAGATGTATTTTTTTACAAATCAGTTCAACCTTTAAGTGACCACCAATATTGTTGATTATTACCATTTCGATATGTGTGTTTTTTGTTTGGCAGTAAACTTTTATTTTTTTAAAGTCGTTTTTATTAGCGTATTTCCTGAGTTACATTTTGAATTTCCCGCGAAATACGAACTGGGTACACTTGGCAACGTTGGTACGGACTAGGCGGTTTAGCCTCTCGTCAGAAACCGGACCACTTTGAAAATTCATTGGAGAGCATATTCGGACATTCTATACCCAACTGAAACATTTTCGACAATGCAGTGTTGCCACTTCCATTAGAAAGTAGTAGTAACTTTGATTTTTCAAATGGAACACCATGTATATATTATTTTTGGAATCTAAAAGAATTACCCGACAACTTTTCTTGATATTTCCCTATACCTATCTGTTACCGTTTTCGAAATATGAATTGATTTTATTTTTTCTTTCGGAAATGATGACCTCAAAAAATGCTGATATCTTTGAGTTAAGGAATACTTTGGTACTGAAATTTAGTTTGGAGTTAGGTGATACTTGAAGGCTTCCCACACTTCAGCGTAATCTCCGTTATTTCAATATATGGTGGTAAAAAATACAGTTTTTTCGTCTGCTTGAAAAAGTGACTGAAAGTTGATTTTTTCAAATGGAACACCCTGTGTATTATTACAAACTCAGAAAGCTGCTGAAATTTGCTTTCTTTCTATTTATATCATGTGTATACTTGACTAGTAAAGTTTTGGACTTATGAGCATTTATTTGTGAAAATGTCCCTTCAGAAAGCTATTCCCATTCGGTATTTTGTAAGCAGGCCATGATTACTATTTGACAGTAGCGTTGTGACATTCTCCTAATAATATTGACATTTTCGTCACTTCAAAGTTTCAAATACCTTCAAAACGATGGAACAAAACTATTCAAACGAAGTACTTATGAATTTGCTTATTATTATTTGGACAGTGTGAAAGTTCAAGGAAAGGTATCCGAATCTACCGCTAATGAACCTCAAGAAATTTATGCGAGTTTAGAACAATTTCACTATGTTTGGGTGAATTTAAAAAAACACGAAAAAACTTGAAAGTGGAAATATTGATATGAATAGTTATGAAAAAGGTAAACAATTACGTGGAATATATGAAAATATATTCGAATCGCTGGCTGTTCACTTCCAAGCGCTTGAAAATGCAGGTGTTGACTGCTTTTGTGGTGGTAGATCTGATTTCATTGGGATCCAAATCTTCAAATGTTTGGGCAATCCTTTCTAACAATTCATCTCTAGAATGCACGGGTGTTTCGTAAACTTTTTCTTTAAACATTCCCCACAAATAAAAATCTAATGGATTAAGATCGGGTGACCTCGCTGGCGAATTCCATTGTCCCAAGCGCCTTATCCACCGCTCGTCAAAGTCTGTCCAGTTCTGCGCTCACTTCTCTTGTGCAATGTGCAGAAGCTCCGTCTAGTTGGTACCAACATTTTCGATATTCTTCGAATGGCAGATTATCGACAAAGCTCTTTACAATATTCTCCAAAATATTCAGGTAGCTTGTGGATGTTAATGATTCCTCGCATATAGCGTACCTCAATTTGTTGTACATATTAACATGCAGAAGACATTAAAACTGAATATTTCTTAAAATCCGGCTTTTTTGTGACGTGAGGATTTTCACTGGACCAATAATGACAATTTCTTCTATTGAGAATTCCTTCTCTCAAAAATTTCAATTCATCAGTCCAAATACTTTTATTTTAAAAAAATTGATTTTCTTGAATGTGTCAACATTTCACAAAATTCAGTCTCTGTTGAGGGTCTTGAGGCTTTATCGCTTGAATTTTGGTGAATTTATAATCATGCATTTTATGTCTTCACAAGATTCTTTGAACCAATGAATATTTTATACCCAAATCACATATTATTTAATCTGTGCCCAAATCTTCTTCAGCACTTCTTATCGATAACTCAGGAAATACGTGAAAATATGCTGAGATATTAATTTGGTTGTCTTCAGAAGTTATGGGTTGAGGCAAGTTTCTTGATCCTTTTAAAGTTGATCCAAATGCATTGAAATTGTTCTACATGTCCTGCTGATAATTTCATCATACTGTCCAAAAATAATAAACAAATTCATAAGAACTTCGTTTGAATAGTTTTGTTCCATAGTTTTGAAGGTATTTGGAACTACTGAAGTGACGAAAATATCCATATTATTAGGAGAATGTCACAACGCTACTGTCAAATAGTAATCACGGCCTGCTTACAAAATACCGAATACTAGTTAAGTAGGCTGGTATCTCAATCGCCACAAAAGAAATAACCAAGAAAGGAATTTCTGGCAAAAACATAACAATCTGCACTGATAGCAGACAAGCACTATTAGCCTTGAACATGCAGCGTGTTACCTCAGGTAACACGCTGAGGTGGGTTAAAGCGCACGACAAGAGTAAAGGCAATCGCATTGTCGACTCTTTAGCCAAGGAAGCGGCTGGACTAAGAATTTTAGGACCCAGTGGCACCCACGGCCTGATGACTTCGACAATTGCGGAACTAATCAAATGTTACACCCATGCTCAATTCTTGAAGAGATGGGATGAAATCAAAGGATGTAATCTTGCCAGGATCACCTTGGGCAACCCTGGGAACCTGGTGCCGAAGTCATCTGGCGATGACCAGGAAAAATCTACGCCTTACAGTAGGATTTCTGACTGGCCACTGTCAACTGAGAAAACACCTCCATAATATGGGGCTAGTAGACACACCTCTATGCACAATGGGTCACATGTGGCCTAAGTGCGTGGGCTTACACTCACCCTCCCTACTCTACAGATACTAGTTAAGTATATGCATGACATGCATAGAAATAAAGCAAATTTCAACAGCTTTCTGAATTTGTAATAATACATAGGGTGTTCCATTTGAAATAGTCAACTTTCAGTCACTTTTTAAAGCAAACGAAAAAAACTGTATTTTTTTTATCACCCTGTATTGACGTAACGGAGATTACGCTGAAGTGTGGGAAGCCTTTAAGTAAAACCTAACTCCAAACCAAATTTCGATATCATAGTACTTCTTAACTAAAAGATATCGGCATTTTTAGAAGTCATGATTTTCGAAGAAAAAAATTGAAATTAATTTTTATTTCGAAAACGGTAACAGATAGGTATAGGGAAATATCAAGAAAAGTTGTCGGGTAATTGTGGATTCCAAAAATAGTATTATATAAAGGTTGTTCCATTTGAAAAATCAAAGTTGCTACTACTTTCTAATGGCAGCGGTAACACCGCATTGTCGAAAATATTTTAGTTGAGTAGAGAATGTCCGAATATGTTGTCCATTAAATTTAAAAAGTGATCCGTTGTCTGGTTCACCAGAAACGTCTAATGTGTCATCCACCGTGAATCAGCCTATTACTCTTTCTTCTACAAATGAAAAATTGAGATAAAATAGTTGACGTTTGTGTTTAATCAACTAGACCTTTCGTTTGGATGATAGCTTGCACTCACTATATTAAGAGCAATGGATAACATATTGTTTATTGATAAGTTTCTACAGTTTCAAATCTTTTATACTACAAAATTGATTACTGTTGGGTATTTCATATTTCACAGTTGTTAATGTCTATGTCTAATGTTCCGCATACTGAAATATTCAAACTGACCTATATTGGACTTGAAAAATGGAATATAAAATAAGTTTGTAAAGAATAATAATTAAAGAGCTTAGTAATTTTGTGAAGCACTCCAACTCATAAATATTAGTGAATTTCAAAAATAAGGGTAATTCTTGATTAGGTTAAGATAGGTTGTTCGGAGCATCATTTTGTTTTCATTAGTTTGTCAACTTACACCAGATGCACAAATTGACGACACATGTGTACTCTTTATTTGTCCCAACTGTATCTCAAAGAAACTCTGCATACCAACAAGTGCAGAGTTAATACTATCCAAGATCATTGAAATAATTTCAAATCAAATTCATCTTCTAGTTCAATAAGATGAACTCACATTCTTTATTTCTCAACACCAATCAGCAATTCATTTCATCTTTTTCAAGTATTTGTTAGAATATTACTTGTTCTTTTTTATTATTGGATTCAAACCCAGATCATTCTTTGATTTTCAAATCAATTGATTTTTGAAGAAAGGATTGTGTAGTATCATCATCTGCGACGTTTCTAGACTGAAGTTATTGTCTTTGAGAATGAAACACTAGATTCAGAATAAGTATTTATCGAATAATCACATACTTCAACAAGAAAAAAGGGTATACAAAACTACAAAATTACTTGAATACTGTATAACTTCTTTATCTCTGAAAGCAAAAATAAATCTTAGCAGTGATTTTAAAGGGATTCAAATATTCAAGAAAGGATAATTTTTCAACATAAGTACACAATAGATATGCACTACTAGAGTATTTCACTGAATTTCTTAGTTCCTTCATGATTAAAGCGATGATAATTGTTTTTAATCATGTTACAGTAGCTAAATGAAGAAATTATACAGTAGTATTGAGTATATAACATATGTGCTATCCAGCTTCAGTACTTTCCACAAAGAGAATGATATAAAAATAAAGGTACATTATAAATCACAAAATACCATTCCTGTCAAAAATTATAAAACTACTAAATAGTCAACGGATGTTTATTATTTTACTGCCAGCAGCAAAAAAAATTGGTAGGCTTCTTGATTGGGAACGTCTGTCTTCAAAGTCATCACGTCGAACTGCTTCATATAATGGTAATAGAAATATTCTACCCATACACTTTACTTAAGGTAAGCAAATATTTGAGAAATTGACAGAAATGCTAAATAATCTACAATATCACTGATACATCATACTTTCATGTCATACTACCATATTTTTGACCAGGAGGCCATACTGGAACTTCAGAAGAACCATGGTTAGGTCCTCGAGAGAAAGCATATGCAAAAGAATCTCGAAGTCTTTCTCGAAAAGTCTTATACTCCATGTCACTATATTGTTGCCCAAAATTGAAATCTGCAACTTCTATAATGAACCTGAAAAATTATATTGATTGGAAATGTTACTTCAGCCTATGGAAAAAAAATTGAGCATACAGGGCATCTAGCTTCATAATCAGATAAGTCACAACAATTTTCTCAGGAGATACAAAAACAAAGAAAACAGCAACAAAAAATGATAATTTTGAAGACCATATGCTGGACTTATTCAAATATATCACCTGCAGACCGCGGTTTCGAGGTATTACCTCTTGTCGTCATGTATCACAATTCAATTTTTTTGAAGAATTTCAATGCGTATTTTTTTTAATCACTCATTATATGTGTTTCGCAATGACTCTTATGGCAAACACTTTAAATTTACAAAAAGTTATATCTCCAACATAAAGTGGTTGAATATGTTGAAACTCCTAGTGATTATTATTCAGTTTGAAATAAAATTATTTCCAAAGTTTCACAGAAGGGAAGTTGTGCGTAGGAACTGTGATGAAAATAAACATAGAACTTAATTAGTGAGTAGAATGAACTCAAAATGTCACAATAAAATATATAACCAATCAGGTTCAATATTTTGGATATATGGCACAATGGGTTAACTACTTCATATGCTTGAAAAATAAAATATAAAACTGTAGTAAAGGAGTTAATGGCACAGATTGTTTATTGTTATTCTATAAGTAGTCTGTATCTAATTGTCACTCTAAATTTGAATATTTCACAATTATTTTCCTTCTCCATGTTTTTAAATCAACGTGGGTACAGGTATGGTCCTAACTAACTACTATATTGTTGTCCAACACTTTTCTAAACATACTATATCAATTTCGTTTTCTTTGTTCTTAATATTATTTAAAAATTATAATAAGGATAATAGACTTTATTGTATCATACTACATCATGCTAGACAAATGAAAAACGAGTACAAAAGCTGTAAAGTCAAACAGCAAAAAAAGCCAGAGTACGGTCTTGAACGTTAGATGAATTACCGAGTAGACGCACTCTTCCTATCTAAAATTTCTTATGGAATGCAGTATATTTAGCTGCCTAAAGCTTCATTTTTACTTCGACCTCGACTAATACATTAAAAAGTTCACTTACCGAGACCTATTTTGGATGTAGTAAGCAACTCCAAACACAATTAATACAACTGCAACTAAAGTAAACACTACTGGAACAACAATAACGGACAACTGGGGTTGTTTATTAACTGGAAAAAAACATATTCAATACTTTGAAACCAAAACCAATAACTCAAACCTTTATAAATGTTGACTGTAACTGGCGTCACTATTTTACTAACTTCATTTTTGATAATTATAAGAATGGTAGTTTTGGGATGCCACAAATAACGTTTTATTCGAAAACTGCAAGTATCCAGGCGTTCGTAAATCCCACAAGTTTCATTTCCAGTTACATTATATTCTCCTCTGAGATAGTTCACGCAATAGTCAATATTTTTTGAGCCAGTGCAACTAACTTTTAATGATAAAAGATCTCCAGGTTGTATCCAATTATTTCCATTTCCATTAACATTAGATAAAGGTGCTAAAATTGAAAACACTCATTAATTATTTTGTCAAATATACTATCAAACTAAGAATTAGGCAACCAAACCACTCAGAACTACGAGTTTTCTATACAGCGCAGTTGTAAATAGTCCTTCTCTCTCTCAACATTTATATACTTGAATACTAAACCATACTTATATTTATATTTTCACTAGCTTCTACCAGCGGCTTCGCTCGCGGGTGACAGAAGAAAATAACAATAAATATAGAAAAATTCCAAACAGCTGAAACTATAGTCAATTGGATTAGATTGGCTTGGATGTTGTCGTGACTGTGAATAATACAGTGCGACGGTATTACAGTCAAAGGGTTGGAACTTCATCACTGGAATGCTAGATGACGTTAAAATAGCTAGATTTTGAGATTTGTTTGACAAACAATTTTTTTATCTTACATAAAAAATAATTGTTTTTTTAATAAAAAGTATCCTATGTTACTTCTAATACCTCCAAGAACATGTGTACAAAATTTCATGATGATCGGTTGAGTAGTTTTCGCGTGAAACCGTAACAAACAAACTTACAAAGGGTTGGAACTTCATCACTGGAATGCTAGATGACGTTAAAATAGCTAGATTTTGAGATCTTTTTGACAAACAATCTGACATAAAAAATATTTTTTTTTAATAAAAAGTATCCTATATTACTTCTAATACCTCCAAGAACATGTGTACAAAATTTCATGATGATCGGTTAAGTAGTTTTCGCGTTAAACCGTAACAAACAAACTTACATTTGCATTTATAATATTAGTAGGGAAGTCGTGACTGAGAATAATACAGTGCGACGGTATTACAGTACAAAGGGTTGGAACTTCATTACTGGAATGCTAGATGACGTTAAAGTAGTTAGATTTCGAGATTTTTTTTGACAAACAGTTTTTTCATCTTACATAATAAAAAATAATAAAAAGTATCCTATGTTACTTCTAATACCTACAAAAACGTGTACAAAATTTCATGATGATCAGTTGAGTAGTTTTCGCGTGAAACTATAACAAACAAACTTACATTCACATTTATAATATTAGTAGGGATTGTTTAACTTGCTATAAATATGCTTCTGTGTATAATGTAATCAAATGAACTGTCCTATTCTTTCTGAAATGTAACATCAGTTTTGAAAACTCAGAGCCCACTAGATCACCTGTTATGATGCCTCTAGATGTTTATAAGATGTGACATTTGAAGTATAACATGAACAACCGTAGTTCATTTCAGAACTCGTAGATAGGAAAAGAGGTGCTTGCAACAAAATTACCCCAGAAACATTTCATAATGAAGAGAATAAATTTGTGTTGACTCCATTATTATCAGGAAGTATAGTTTCAACATTTATTGGAATCACCTGTTGTGAGTTTAGAATCATTTTTTCGTGAAACTAAGATATTTATCATTTGTTTGCAGGTCATTAACATGAATATAAAATAAGTAATGGTTATTCATTGATGAATTATTGTCCAACATAAATCCTAAATATTTGAATTCAGTAATAAGTAACAAGTTCAATTTTGTCATTTTCTTTTTTTATATCAATTTGATTTAAATCTAATTCTCTGTACTTAACAGAGTACTAATTATCATAGACTTTGTTTTGTTGACATTTGGCTTTAATTTATTAGTTTTTAAATATGTAGCAATATTATTTGGACACATGTCCAATTACTACAAAGCTACTCTTTATAATTTTGTTTAATGCTGCATTTACTTGTGACGCTAAATTGGATACAATTGGATCTAAAACCAGATTGGTTTGAAATATTTCAATAGTTATTGATATACTACTGATAACAATTTTTCAGTATAGGATAAAATGTTAATTGGTCGGTATTCATCAGTTTTTTTTTGTGTTAGGAACTTTTTCGATTGGCATAACTGTACTGGTTTTTGATTCATCTGAAAAACTACCATTTTGTAACGAGCTGTTCACATAATGACACCACACATGTCCAATTATTTCAAATCTACTCTTTATAATTTTGCTTGATGCTGCATTTATTTGTGACGCTTTGTTTGCTGAATTGGATACAATTGGATCTAAAACCAGATTGGTTTGAAATATTTCAATAGTTATTGATATGCTACTGATAACAATTTTTCAGTACAGGATAAAACGTTAATTGGTCGGTATTCATCAGATTTTAACAATTAGCCAATTTTTGTTTTTCTCTATTGATAACTTTTTGATTATTTTGTTTTCTGATCGAATTTCTATAAACAAAGGTTGGAAAGAGAATTGAAATAATCATCAAAACTCTCCCTTCTAATATTAAAAAAAAAGTTGATAGTGCCATCTCGGCGACAAGTGATGTCACACTATTGGAGTTCAATAAAAATTATTGAAAATGATTCCTTCCTACAAAAAAAAATTGCCTGACTCTGATATCTTGCTCCGTTCGAAAGTTGAGAGTTGGTGAGGAACTATTTACATTCACACTGTGTATAAAATAATCTGTCAACAAACCTTTTACTTCAATTTTTTTGAAAAAGTGTCCAAAAGTCTTCATTGAACTGGAAGTCAACTGTGATCCATTACAAACAAAGGGAAATGAACCATTATAGGCAACCAACTTGCCATCGACTAATGTGGAAATTTTGGAAGTTACGTTATTATTCTTGGCCGAATTGTCAATACTTCTTCTAGCTACAGATTTTGAGGTAGATGTCGTGGTGACATTTGGGCTAATTGTTGTGGGTATAGATGTAGTGATAGGTTTTATAGTTGTGCTATTTGGTTGGATTGTTGTAGTAGCAGGTGTCACAGTGGTACTATTAGGTTTCACAGTAGTAGTACTAGGCGCTACTGTGGTTGTTGGAGGAATAGGAGTGAAATCTGCCATTACAAGAGCTTCAACAAAGTGAATTTCATCTGCCACAGTATAATTGTAAGCAAATTTAAAATCAGTTGTAATTCCGTAGTACGTGCAGTCAACAAACCAATAAGTCAGAACGGTAGGAGCTGTTTTGACGTAATCTAGGTCTGATTTTTTCAGATCTACTTCATGAATAACTGTTTCTGCATTTGACACAAAGTCATTAGATCTTGTTTTGTTATTCTGATTCAACTTCAGAGCTCCATTGAGTGTTTCTGGAAGGAAAGTAGATAAAAAAAGTAGAAATGTTTTTCGTCATTATAGGTACAAAAATACAGGAAATAAAAGCATTATTCCCGTTTTGAAATTTGATGAATGACGAATTTTGAAAACAGATACACTGTAAAAAAACACTGTTTGAAACATCATTTAGTAAGCCAGAACACGTTTTTTTCAAAGTATGCACAATGAAGAAGTTTACGATTTTGATGAGTCGAAATGAAAATTTGAGAAAATTGAAACAAAATTGTAAAAAATAACATATTAATTGAAATTAATGAATACAGAATTTTAAAAACGTGTTTCACATTAATACTGTTGCTGCAAAGAAATGTTGGGGAAGAAATAAGTAGAATGAAGTTTACCCATTATGAAAAATCACCTCACCTATAATAAAATAAATCTGTTTAGCTATATTTACCATTCTCATTGTGAGTACACCTTCAGTGTGATGAGTTAGTAACAACTACTGATATCAATGTATTTTTTGTAAACGTAAGTATTTGTAACAATATATAATCAGTGATACTTCTTGTCTCCTGATTTATTCAAAAATTGCTTACTGTATTATAGTTATATAGTTTTGAAAAGTGACCTCAAGAAGTGAACAAGACGTAACATAAAAAAGTCAGACAGCAAATANTATATATATATATATACATTATGAAATATTTGGGTTTGTTACCTGTGATTTCGAATTCCGTTCTAGCAGAGCCGATTTCAAAACAAAATGCATCCCACATGACACATTTCTCAATAACCACTTGCACGACATAATGTCCAAATGGGTAGACACTGGCGTTATAGGTAATCACCCAAGAATCTGTTGCATTCTGATTTTCAGCCTAAAAAATAACAAGTCTTGATAATGAAATCATACTGCAACTTATGTTTGAATGTGCTGATATATTTTTTTTTCATGAATGAAACAATTTTGGACTATCATTGTCTAAAAGGGTGTTAATTTATGAAAAAAACATAGGACCAAAGTGAGTGGACTGGACTGAAATATTCCGTTGAGTTAGTTGAAACGAAAATAATTTCAAAATATGAATATGAAATTCATAAATTTGAAAACAAAACAAATTAATGATAGTTTCAAAAGAAAATATATTAATAAATGAGCTGAACAATGGTAAAATGTTGATTATATTAACAATAGAAATAAAATAAAAAAATGGAAAAGATAATATGCATAAAAATGTATATTAATTTATTTTCATTTCAGCTCTTCCGAAATTATAAATTATACTTTTGAATTTCATACTCATTGTTCATTTGTTTTATTTGTTTTCATCATAAGAACTCATCCAAATACATAGGAACTGTTATTCCTAGTATTATTAATATTTTCAAAATTTCAATTCATTTTTATTTAATATTTCCTCTCGGTGATTTCAAACTTGTTAAATGCCTTTTTAATAGTGGAAATCTGAGTCTGTATCATTCACTATACTGCAAACCAAATCCATTGATGATAATAATGCAATAATCTTCCTGTTAAACACTTGACTGAGTCTACCCAAACAAAAAGCGGATTAGAGATGGCCATTATTTATAATTAATAGATTTAAAATATATACTAATACCAATATAAATGTGAAAGTTTGTGAGGATGGATGTATGTATGTTTGTGGCTTTTTCACGCTTAAAGGACTGAACGGATTTTGATGAAACTTCACATAAATACGGCTTATACATCAGAATAACATATAGGCTACAATTTACACAGGTTTTGTGCAATTTTGGTCATAATATATTGATAAGTATTAGGTGAGTCGGAAAAATTCTTGTTCCCTCAGAGCTATCTTGGAATGCGCTGCCTATACCGTTGCAGTTACATGCAGATAATGTACTGTAAGATTGTTTATCTTAAATAGTTCTAAATAAATGTCCGTGATAGCATATATCTACCTCTTATATGGTAGCCACCATATGAAAAATACTGAGCCATAAATACAATTGAATTGGATACTTTTTTTACAATGAACATTTTAGAATATTTGTCAAATTCATATAAAAATTGATACAATTGTCGTTTTGAATATTTAATATAGATAAATTTTGTATTTCACACTAAATAATTTGGACGAATCGGTCAAAAGTTATCAAGATTAATTTGTCACAACACAGTAAGCCATTATGTATTGCGTCTACTGTAAGATGACGGGGGACGATGCGCAGGGGTAGAGGGGCGGTTTAAGCAATGAAGCAACATCGCCGAGAACGCGACTCAACCGCGGTCAGACGTCGTTGACGGTTGTGTTAGTTTTGCGAATTTCTTTATAGGTAACATAATTCGATTGTCGAAGATAATTATTACTGAGTGCAATTGGCATATTTTTTGAGTTCCTGTATTTTTAAAGTAAAAAATGTAAATCACTAGCTGTTGCCTGCTCTTATATTAAGATACAGCCGAAGCTACTGAACCTAGAATCTTGAAATATGTAGGTAGGTTCTTTGTGTAGTGTAAATAAGTATCAAGAAAGGGAATCAGGAATTTCCACCCCCAAGGGGGAAAATAGGGGTTCAAATATTGTATTAAATTTCGTCAGTTTTGAAGTTGGAAACTTGAAATTTTGGGTAAATATTGTAACTATGTATACAATTGTGACTGTGCCTAATTTCAATATTTCTCAGGTCACACTTGATATTGAATTTGTACTAGAAACAATTGACTAGAGTCAATTGTCATACCATTTAAACTCGTGGGTTGATGGGACAGTAATTGTAAGACAAACCTGCTATCATAGATTTAGGGTTCAAGGTCATTTATTATACCATTGATCTTTGGCTTACCACCCCGTAAACAACTATTTTGTACAGCATACGGATTTTGATAAAAAAAAACATTTGTTTTTTACTAGCCGTCAGAAAAGCAGATTGACAATAATTATAACTAAATAATAAATATACTTTATTGTCTTAAGAAATAACCTGATTGAAAAGGTTGTCATAAAGAAGTTATTTGACACATGAATAAAAACATAATGAATGATTAATTGATAAAAAACGCAAAATTCAGGACTAATAATTCAGAAATTTAAAATGAGTAATTATAAAATTCTTTCAAACTATAATAGGGTCAATTACTTGATATATCCTTTGTGATTTTTTGAAATATTTTATAGTTACATTAGGTTTCTTGACATGACCTGGTAGTTGATTATACATTATATGTCATTATAACAAATAATCTTTCTTTAACATGACTTATGTTTTCCAGAAACCGAAGTCTTTTAAAAAAAATATTTTGTATTCAATACATGAAAATTATAGAAATGTGTTTAAAATCAGATTAACTACATAAAGTCGTCCCTGAGGCGATGGTCTATGGCCGGCTATGCTGATAAGAGGCTTTCCCAGGAATTGTCGCTGAGCGTCAGCAGAATCCAGGGTCAGTGACAACATAATTCGTAGGAAGATGTCTGTACTGGTAAGTACACATGACTTCTTGTACTCTGATGAGTGACACAATGAGAAGAGGAAGACTCAAATTTCAATATATGTTTCTTTAGCTGTTTTGTTGCTGATTCCAATTCCGGAAATATCTTCTTTACTATGCTATTTTATTCTTATCCAGCTTTTTATTCCAACTTGATGGGCAGAATCTTTGGAATGAATACAGTCAATATTATTCTAGCTGGACAATCCTGTGGTACAAGGTAATCTGATTCTTCTACTGATATTATTATGAAATGGGAGAATTTCGAAACAAAGATCATTTGCCTTAACACTTCTCACAATTTTTTTTACAGTCAAAATTATTCTGATTGTTTCTTTGGTATAAGAAATTCTGATTATTCAACTGATGCCATTGGGACACCAAACAAACAACTTTCATTAGACACCCAGTATCTAAAATTAACAAAGCCACTACATTACTGTTTTCGGACTTTTGAAAAATTGCCGGCGTCAAATGATGCAATACCGATTGTAATCCATTATGAAACACTAAGTACTTCTTGAACCTTCAAACACTAAAATGTTACCAAACCATGATTATGTAACTCATTCATGAAAACAATGGAATTAATGTGGAATCATAATAACTTGTAGAAAATACACCTAAATTCAATAAGTAGAATTTGCAACCTCTGGCGTAAAATGAGTAACCATCATCAGGAGTCCTGATTATGCTAATTTGGCTAGTGAAACATACATCGAGAGACAGCGTTCTTGTTCTTCTAAGGGTACAGTGTTTTTAATACACATGACACTTCACATTGAAAATGACAAAACAAAAAACAAATTGCTGCAGATTTTCATTCTTGTACTATCTATCATAACCTGTATAGAGTTGGGTCAATCTCTTAAATCACGCTCATGACTTTTGACAAAACAAAAGCATTTTGAGTATTTTTTTTATACTTACACCACCCAGTACAAATAGAGACAACAAAATATTCATTTTAGAAGAAAATATAATTTGGGAAATATCAGGGTAAACAGGAGTTCAGTAGAATACTATGAAATAATGTCAACTTCAATAATTCTGTTAATCATTATTTTACTAACCAGTCTGGTATGATGATGTATTGATTCATCTTCCCAGGCATATTTGAGATTTATGCCAGTTGCTAAGGCATCTTCATCGAAAACACTGACAGTGAAGTTAATAGTAGCTCCCGCTACAATGGGACCATCATTCACAAGACTTATTTTATACCCATTAGCTGAAAATTTCAAAAATGTAATAAATCAATATAAACACTGGTCTACCAGTGTTAAACAATCAACCTAGGGTGAATTTACTACTTCTTTGAGAATATGAGACAGTGTACAGAGAAGTATATTTTCATTTACAATATAATATTTGTTACTTGGAGTATTTAGGCATAATTCATAATAAGTATTTAGTACAAGTAGGTACTAAAAAATCCCTATCTGAATTTTATTCAGGCTTATATTTCTGGAATAATTTAGTAGTGATTTGTCCTCCGTATTTGATTTACTTCAAAAGATTTTTTTACCACATTGGAAATTTCGGTCAGGATTTACGGTTTCTGGTTGTGTGGAAATGTTCAACAAAGTTCAATTCAACTTTAATATATGAAAAATACAAGAATAGAATATAATATTTGACATTTGTGTTTGACAATTACAAGAACAATATCATGACATTTCTCTCAAAGTTTCAAAACTGACATTACTCATTCTAACATCTATATGTTGAGCTGAAATAAATGAATTACATCAGGAGAAGGAAAACCCATTAGCGAAACTGAAAATTGCATTTTTAATGTATAACTAAGCAATAGTGGAAAAAGGTTATCCCATAGTAAAAAAGCATGGTAATAGCATTTTCAAATTAATAATAAACGTTCCTGTATTTTCATTATCAATTTGATTATCTTTTTGGGAATCACATAAAACATATACAGATTAATCAATTATTGATATGATTATGGTCAGTGCTGACTTATTTTCAGCAAAATACTGACTGTCTAGGAACCGAATAGATGTCTTTGAAGAGACAAGAACCTCAGTATAATATACAAAAATGGAAATTATTGTTTTGAAATTAAAAATCGCTTTTGCCTACCTAAAGTGCCCAAGGCGAGAATGTAATAAAATATCGAAACTATTTGCTTCATTCCACCCTTCACATTATTTTCATTTTTGATTGCCATCGATGAAAAAACACTTCATGACAAACTGAAAAAAGAAAAAATTAAACAATACTTTCTGATTATCGCAAAAATAAATAATGATTTGACAAATGGTAACAATGTTGCCAATACTGATTTAGTAAATTACCTACATACCTTCTTCTTCTTCTTTTTTTTTATGATCTTTGCTTCCCTTCGGCGCCTTTATGATGTTGATAGACACTAAGTCCACGTGAATTCAACCTTTGCCGTGTAATTGGAACTTTTGGCTCGAGTATCTGCGTTCTATCTTCACTTGCTGGTAGTACCTAAACCGAACAAAGAATACATACAAAGGTTATATGATACTAGGATTGAAAATATTGAATTTGGGATCAAGAGTAGGTGTGGATGTACCCCCCTGACGCTGTTATAATTTAATATGATTATACTCCATGAATTTGCATATAATTTTTATTATGCTAACGTTTAAACTTCCCAGGACTGTAGACATGTTCAGAGGAGTTGTTATTCCTTTCTGTGAGAATTGATTATGTATATATTATTTTCTGGAGTAGTAATAATCGGACATTCAAGAAAAACATGGTTTAGGGTTTCTGGTTTGCCGCATTCACGATATTGTGTATCTCTTACCCGTATGTAAAATATATGTGTTTTAATCATACAGTGACCTGTTTTCATTAAGGCGTTGAATGTTTTTATTAAAAACACTTTTTCTACACCAGAACAAAATACTATCTCTCGACGCGCGATTCGCTAACCGAGTTTTCCCGGCTAAAAGCACGACGGATATTGAAACATCCAAGAGGTATTTGAGAAAGTTGTTGATCAAAGGTGAAACTAATCTAAAATGTTATTCGACAATGATATCTTGGTTTGATTTTATCCCACACTACTCTCGAAAGTTACATATTCAATTCTACTGTCGACAATATATTAGAATTGTTTATTTTTCTGACAAAAATCACAGGATGACATTTGGTGATCCTGGTTTAGTGAGAGGTCAATATGGTCAATGGATCTCTCTCTCTATTTTGGATGGTCGTTGCTTCCTATCTTCAGGCGCATATGACCAATGCTCCTCCTGTTACGTAACTGGCTGTTACATAACAAAAGCTTCGTCGGGGGACAAAGACTGTCTTGCAGCTTGCAAGCCTGTGTCCGGAATGGTGTGTGTTACTTCGTGTTTTTCACTAACTCGGCTGGACTGCTTTGGAATGTCTGGATAAAGCGGTACACGTAGCGTCTACTGGAGTGTCGAACGTTGTCTCGTGTTCTGGGAACTGGGTGATAAAAAGACAGATAATACGTACATTGGGGTGGAGGGATGGGAGAAAGGAGAGAAAGAAAGGGAACCATCCCTTCCTCCCCTGTTGACTTATAGTTTGATATGATTATATGTTATAAAATAGACGAGAGTTTTGATAATACCGAAGTGTAAAGAGCCAAGTACTGTTGACATATTCAAGGGAGCCGGAATGCCTTTTTTGACAAGTTGTTGGTAAATGTCATATCCAGGGATACTGTTAATTGGGCATTCTAGGAACGTGTGTTCCAATGTGTCTAGTTGTCCACAGTCGCAATGTGGACTTGAAGAGACGCCAATACGAAATAAGTGAGACTTAGTCCAACAGTGGCCGGTTTTCATACGGATGAGGCTAGAAACATGTCTTCTGTCCATAGCTGGAATTGTCAGATACCAAGGCCGTTTGGGGAAGGTAGGGTGGATTCTACAATATGTCTTACCTTTATTCTGTATCTCTTGTTGCCATTTAGTATAAAAGTGTTGATTGATGTTGTTTTTCAGGAATGGTAAGTAATTATGTTTATCTACTGGAATATTCAATGGAACACTGATGATCGTGCCAACTTTCGCCAACTTATCCGCCTGCTCATTACCATCAATATGCGAATGTCCTGGAATCCATGTAAATTTGAAAGTATAATGTGGAGTTGTAGTAGTGATAATGTGTTTAATGCTCAATGTAATAAAGTCTATATTCGTCTGAAAATTTGCGTTCTTCAATCGTTCCAGTGCACTTGCAGAATCGGTGAAAAGAAAGTTATGTCGCTGGCCCTTTTCCATGCAGATCTTCATACCTTTATACAAGGCAATCATCTCCGCGTCACAGATGTTTAGGTGATCATGTAGTCGTGCTGAAAATTTATAGTCTAGTTGTGGAATATAAATGCCTATACCAACCTTAGTGTTATTTTTTGATGCATCAGTATATACGAAAATGTAGTCATTATATTTCAGAGAAATATAAAAAGTTCTTGAAACAATCAGGATCTTGTTTTGTGATTTTGGCATCTATAATATCTACATGCTGTAAATATGTTGCCAAATTGAAACTGTAACTTGGTATGACATACATATTTTCTGTGATCAATTTACTAGAATGGAAGGCCTCGACCAAATATGGAAGTTGTTTATTTTTCCAGTAACTACACTGCTGGTGGTATATGATGTCAATAATTTCCAAAATCTCAAGTAAAGGTGGCCTGAAATCCATTCTTTTCATGATATATTCATGGGCAAGCCACTGTCTGCGATGGTCTAAATCTGTCAAACCTGCTTCCGCCAGTATAGCATTGCGAGGCGTGGATTTCATGCATCCCAGAATAATTCTAAGTCCTGATATATAGACTGTATCTAATTTGTCCAGGTTCTTTTTAGTACAAGGTCTATATAAGAATGCGCCATAATCTAAGTGCGCACGCACAAGTCCATTGAACGCCAGCAACATAGTTCTCGGGTCCGCGCCCCACCATACTTTGCAAAAAGTTTTTATAATATTGATACCTTTATTTGCTTTAGAAATATCATGATCAATAGTTCTGTCCCAATTCAGATTAGTGGAAAAGAAAGTTCCTATAAGTATTTAATCTCTTTCTTGGCCTGCAGGGTATGATTGTCTATCCGAATTTTCAAAGGTCAAAGGGAAGCTCTACCTTTGTGAAAGAACATGCTTTCACATTTACCTAAACTCAGCTGAAGGTCATGGTTGGACATCCACGTATTAATAGTGGAAAGTTAACTATTTATGGTGTTCTCCGATATTTGGAGAGAGTCTCCCTTGATTAGCAGTAGTAAGTCATCCGCATATGGCAGCAAACGGCATGGGGATGGTATGACATCGAACAACGGAAGTAAGTAAATATTAAACAGAAGAGGACTAAGCGGGGAACCTTGTGTGAGTCCCTTCGAGGTTAAACCAGGTCCGTGGACGACACCATGTCGATCTATTAAATAATTATGTCGGTTATCTAATATTCGGAATATGAGGTTTGCCATCTCTGATGCTACTCCATATTTTAAAAGATATTTATATAAAGTGAATATGTTGACATTATCATAGGCCCCCTTGATATCTGAAAACACCGCAATGACGTTTTGATTTAAGCTAAAAGCTAATTGTACATAAGAGGTTAAAAAGGCAGTGCAATCCATCGTAACTAAACCTTTGCGAAACCCTGTTTGGTATCTGGAAAGAAGTTGGTTATGTTCAAAAAACCACTCTAAACGTGTTTTGATTATTTTTTCTAGTAGTTTCAATCCACAGGAAGCCATAGCCAATAGGCGGTATGTATTTGTAGCTGTGTGAATAGAGGCTTTTTTAATGCCAATCAATAAAAATTCTTTCCATGAACACGGTATTGTCTCACCCTGTAGGAAACCATTATAGAATTGTAGTAGTGCAAGTTTCAATTCCAAATGGATATTTGATCTAATAGTGTAATTGCTGTTTGTGCATCTGGCGCATCGTTGGAGTTGTATTTTTTAAGTTTTTTGTCGGAATAGCTTCGGATTATGTTCCATACGTAAGAGATGTTAGAGTCTCGATTTAGGGAAGCACAAAATATTTGAAAACTTTTTTTCTTTTTCTTTCTCAAGAATCGTTTTGTTACCGCTATTGTTTTTTTTGCTTCTATATAATTCGTAATCGTTGGGAATAGTTGAAAGTGTTTGATAGCTTGTTTCTTTTTTGTGTTGGCTTGAGTGCATTCACTGTCCCACCAGGGACATCTCGGTACCTTTAAAGATTTTGGGTGATAGGCAGGTATTGTTGTATCCGCTACATAGTTCATTAAATTAGTTAAAGAATCATATGAATCCAATGTTTGTAGGTCTGCTAGATTATCTAGCTGTTGTGTGTATGTGTTCCAATCCGCTTTCGCAAAGACTCTTAACTTTTCTCGTATTATTAATATATATTTGTTCCTCTGTGTTATCATAGCTGCATAGGGTAGGGTAGTGATCGCTATTACCACATTCCTCCATTACTTCCCAAGAACATTTTGGTGCCATTGCACCAGACATCATACATAAATCCACTGGACTTGGATTTTCCAGAGGGCTTGCAAATCTAGTACCTTTACCCGCGTGTTTAGTACTACCAATTCGTCACCGTCCAATAATACACTCAATACAATGCTATTAAAATTACTCGAGGCACTTCCCCATAAGGGATGGTGTGCGTTAAAATCCCCCATCCAAATTATTTTTTCTCGCAAATGATGTAGTAATCTAGTAGCTTGGTCTATTGAAAGATGATTATTCGGGGGGTTATAGGAGTTTACTATATTTATGTTATTAACATTGACTATTAAGGTTTGGCATTTATTATCATTCAATTCTTGTATGTCCACAATGGAGTAATGGCAGTCTTTGCGAACGAGGGTGGCAATACCCCCATATCCATCCTCCCTATCAATTCGTATAGTATTATAATTTTTTAAATTTCAAGTATAATCTATTTTTAGCCACGTTTCATTCATTCATTCATTCATTACCACAGGAGCACATGTGGCATGTGCTCCTGTGGTAAAAGTGTCAAGTAATGAAAGTTGGCCTTCACGCTACGTATATTCCATTGAATGATTTTCATGGATGTAGAATTTACCCTATTCCCGAACAGTGCTAGTAAAAGTCTGTGGAATCGAAATCTTTATATAGTCTAGCCTTATCGTATGCGGTAATGACATCAATTATTTTTGTCTTGGTGGTTGCAGGTAATTTGGAAAAAATTGCATAAAATTTTTTTACTATATTTCTATCGTGCTCGTCTGAAGTTAGTAAAAACTGTTGTTGAATTGGGATTGATTTATACGCTGTTTATTGGAACCTACTGTTGTTTTTTTAATTGCCCCCGTACTTACTGTGGTCTGTGAAGTTGTTTGTAAAGCTATACCATTTGGGGGTTGTGGAATTCTACCATCTGGATACAGCAAAATTTCGTTCAATGCATCCCTGTCATAGCCTATTCTATGTTCTCTATTACTATGTTTGTCCCCTCCTACGCTTTGTGCATATGATCTTTTGAATCTTTGATTGTTTGCCATATAAGTTTCTTTGCGTTGCTCTACTGAAATATCATTATTATTGAATGTATATCTATTTTGCAATATTGGATAATCGTTAGCTTGTGGATTATAAGAAGTTGGTTCTTTTGGAAAGTGTTTGATAGCTTCATAAAAAGAAATATTTTCAAAAGTCATTTTCTCCCTAATTTTTTTTGACGTTCAAATTCCTTGCAAATTCTATTGTTGGATTTATGTTCAGTACTTCCACAAAAAAGGCATTTTATGTTATTACAAGTTTTATATGTCTCTTCATCTATGTGACTTTGAGTGCAAGAAAAACATTTTTGTTTACCTTTGCAATATTTTTTAATGTGTCCATAAAGGAGACAATTAAAACATTGAATCACTGGAGGTATATAAGGAGTTGTTATGTAAGTTAAAAAGCAAATGTCAACATACCTAGGAATGATAGTTCCCTCAAAAGTAATTAAAATCGTCGATGCAGGTACATATTGGATCTTTCCATCTGTTACTATGCGTCTGTTCATTCTTTTGACACTTTTAATTTTATAAGGGCTTTTAATCATCATTTTCAGTTCCTCTTCTGAGTAATATGTAGTTATGTTTTTTACAATCGCTTTGCAGGTTACATTACTATTAGGAATGTATAATTTATAGCCTAAAGTTTTCAATTTTTCGTTCAAGACTAGAGAATTGGCAATCAACTCAAATTCAACTCCTATATTATGTCTACCTTTGATTTTGAACTTACTTACATTTTCCAATTTCAGATCACAAACTTCCTTAGCAATTTTAAGATGTGGATATCGTCCAAGACTGGCTCTAGATTCCTTATTAGTTTCTACAATAACTGTGAAGGGACCCGTTACACCCTCCCCATATAAATTTATCTGATTTTCTTGACCTGATTCCATTTCACTTATCACCGGTTGCGAAGAAGCACCTGTAGGATTGTTTTCTATTTCAATATCATGTGTTTGTGTGAAATTGACTAATTCATTGCTTTCAGAGTTAAAGGTTCTTGATAGCGACTGGCGATCTTCCTGACTCATTATTTTCCATACCTCATCATCAACACTATCCCTGTTAGTAAAATTAATATGGCTTCCTTCATTATCAATATGAATTCGTTTTATGGGGGAAGATGGCTCTTCCCCCTCTCCCCCTAACATGTCTACAGCACTTCAGCACCTTTCTCCTTTTTTTCATGATAAAAAAAAGAGGTAGAAAAACTACAACTAATTATTTAATTCGCAGTTATATGTACTTCCCGACGATAAATCAAAGTATTAGAACTCAAATAACCCACTAGAATAAAGAAATAAGTACAAAGGAAATAGAAAAAGAAATTGCACACCTGATTCGATCTTCGCAGCTCGACAGTTCCATGGTCAATGGATGCTTGTAACATGGAGTTGTGTTTTTTTCCTGGTGTGACTATTGGGTCAACAGAAATAAACAGTTAAGTCGATAATAGTAGTCTATTCAATAAATTAATCTTAAATCAAAATATAGTACTCTTTCATTGCGATTGAAGGCTGTGTGCAAAAAATTTGGCCAGAATGATGGTTAGCGAGCTTTCAAAGGCGGAATTTTGGTGCCAGTAAACATGTTCGACAAAGAGGTTCGAACGAATTGCCACCATAATGCTGCGTTCTTTTCTATCGTATCCTCCTTTATCGTGAAATTAGACTTTTCAAAGCTCAGCAAAACCACTGTTTACGAAAAATTTGTTCACACACAAACCATAGAAGTAACATTTTATAGAGATAAACCCATATCATTGTTTTAGCAATGAAACAACGCTTATTTTGATATTAGATTGATTTATTAAAAAGATAGATGTAAATAACTAGACTTACCTGCTTACACCTGTCAACCCAATAGTTACGCCAGGAAAATAATAGCCAACCCAATGATTATGTACTCTACGGACTTCATATACTTTGAAGTTGTTCATTGATTGAATGAGTGTAACGTTCAAAGAAGTAATTTTTTGGAGATTTCATTTGATCATAATCTAGTCAAGATTTTTTCGACGACCTAGGTACTCGCAATTTATTTTTAATCCAACAAATTTGTACAATACGAATCTTACCATCTTTCCCGCAACTTGAGAAAAAGTTTGCTGTTGGATGCCAAGACACACAAGTGGTAGAACCCTCATGAAGAGTATAATGCTGCTGAAGTTTTTTATTTCGTAAATCATATACTCTAACGGAACCCGAGTCCATAGCAACTGCCACTGTGTTGTTGTTAGTGTGAATTGACAGATATGTTGGACTACTACTTTGGCTTACAAATACATGTTCGCACTGAGAAGTTTTTGGATCCCAAACTCGAATAGTGCGATCATCAGCGCCAGACACAACAAAGTTTCCCTCAGGGGAGTATTTAGCACACCTCACCCAATTATTATGTCCTACAAGACTAGAAATAAACTGCCTCTTTGATACATCCCATACTTTCACAGATTTGTCATTGGATCCTGTTATTATTTTTTTGTTATCAGGAGAGAAACTAACGCAGTTAACAGCTGAAGTATGTGCTTTGAACACACATGTTTCACCTCTAATTGTTGGTACCCAAAACCGAACATTTTGATCCTTGGAACTGGATGCTAGTAATTTTCCATCTGAAGAAAATTCTACACTGGTGACAATGTCATTGTGACCTGAGAAATTGTAACTTCGAATATTCTGGTCCATATTCCATATCATTAAAGAATTATCTTCACTGCTACTTGCAAATTGTTTGGTGCCTGGGTTGAAACACACATCTGTAATCGACTTTTTGTGTCCTTTAAGACTCATAACCAGACATGGGTCTTCTGATACGGTTGAATTTGAGTTTCCTTTTGACTCATACATGATATGTTTTGGTAGTAATATATTAATTTCTACCAAAAATAAGAAGACACAAATTTTAAACGCAACCGTCACACAATCAAAACAGTGAATTCAAAATTAATTGACATTTGACATATAAGCACAGATTATATTGGGTTTTTTTTTCTGCTTGATTCGGCCGTTACTTGATGAAGATCCATAGTAATTTCAAAAACTACACCTCACGATTTGATCTCCACAAACTTTATTTGAAAAATATATCACAACATGTTTCGCTAGCACAATAGCTTTCTCAAGTGATTTGAAATAATATTGGTTTTTGAAAAAATATATTGGAGTTGTATGTATTCTGTGGTGTAAGACGAAATCTCAAGTTCGACAGCAATCCATCAATAGTTGTATTTTGTCAGAAAGCTAATAACTTGTGATGAGAATAACCTGATTTCGAATAAAATTAGTGCTAACAAAACACGCCTAGTGACACTGTAGACATATTAGATGAGATTTTAACAGAATAGCCACAATTTGTTCATTTGTTGTAATGTGGATTGTAGTTATATTCACTTCCAAACCATTTCCACTTCCAATTCATTTATATTTTGTATTGGATTAGTATATGACTTGGAAGTAGTCAAAATACTTTCTTATGATTTCCAAAACTAATCACCTCTGTCATATTCCTGACAAGTGGAGACAATCTGATCACGGTTAACCAAAAGTCATCCAAGTCACCTGAAAATATTGGGCCATTACTCATTCTTGTATTCCGTAAGTACCCACTAATTTATAGTATTTCATGTAACTACTGTCAAAAAGATCTGGTGAGTACCCGTTCTATTGATTACTTTCGGAGATACGCTTGATAAATTTTCCTGAGATTTCAGTCAACTATCAACCATCAAACCAAATTCATCCACTATTAATCTAGATTATTTGGTGTGGCTCCAGTGGAACAGATCAGAGATTTCAGAGAAGTTGATAGGTGTTGCATGATCCGTCAAACAATAGAAAACGATTTGGGTAGTTGGATGAGCTCACCGATGAATTCAAGAACTCGTTTATACCTCGAAACGTGACCAACCACAAAAAGTAAACACTCAACTCCATCTGTTCATTTCAAGAATAATAATTTTTAAATGGTAAACAAATAATAAGACAAAAAGTTACATTGGAAATAAATTTTAGGGGTTGCGTTTTCCACCCCTTATAGCCATGGGGTAAACGAAATGAAGTGTCTTTTTGGTAGTACAAAACGTCAGGTTAATTTCAATATTGTAACTTTTTTAGTGCTTGTGAAAATTTTATGTACCCCCTTTAAGGGGCTGTATCTTAACAAGGGATGCTCCAATGAAATTTCTTTAAGAAATGAAAGATCCTATCTTTTTTTCGATGAGGAATCACCTCCTCAAATGTTTTACACTTAGTTACACCCTATATTATAGTAGTAACCAATCCCTCGGCTTTCATTTTTTAGAAAGTTGGGAAATTTTGCTGGTGGGGTTGGGAAAATTTGGATTCCCTCCCCTCCTTGTATTTATTTTCGCTACGGCCCTGTTTGCAATATCACTTCAATGAAATGAATGAAAACACTTTCATCTAATTTACACTAGTTATTTCATTTTTACCACGGGGTTCGCGTCGTAAAAATTAAATAACTAGTAGAAATTAGACAAAAATGTTTTCATTCATTTCTTTAAAATGATCACGAATATCCACAAAATAAACAAGTCATCACAGATTTACAATATTACATATGAAAGTTGACAAGACTTTTATCAACGGCATATTTTCGAGAAAGGCTTCAGATGCATTGTCTTAGGATTCTTAGACAATGCCATAGAAGCTCAGAAGAGGCATTTTCCTGTCATCTGAAATTTTTAGTACNGAAAGGCTACAGATGCATTGTCTTAGGATTCTTAGACAATGCCATAGAAGCTCAGAAGAGGCATTTTCCTGTCATCTGAAATTTTTAGTACACATCTTGATCACCAGAGGGAGATGGCAGTACAAAGCAGGGAAGTTCGGCAAAATATAACTATATTAAAAAGCAGACTGGTTTGTCAGCGACTGCTACCCAGTTCTGTTGGTAATCACATTAAATCCTTAGTAAATCTTTAGACAATGGTTAAATCATTAAATACCCACATCGCACTGCTATAGCCCTCTGGTGGTCAGGATAAGTACAAAAAATTTTAGGTGACACGAAATTGCCACTTCTGAGCTTCTGTGGGCTTTGTGTTCTTAGATAAAATAAAGCGATTAACATACTTTAGCATTCGGAACTGGATTCTGATCATAATCCAGTAATCCTGGTATTGGGCGATGATCTTCCTTCTCCTGATTATCGCATGAGATCTTCGACGGACTGGGATATCTTCACAACCCAGCTCGGAGAGATGCGCGCCCTTCCTGAGGCACTTCGCTATCCCGACGAACTCGACGCGGCAGTTGAACGTTTCGAGCTTTCTGTGAATGATGCGTTTCGAGCGGCCACCTCCAGGGAAGAGTGTCCGCTGAAGATTTATAATGAGTTTCCCCCTCGTATCAAAGCCTTGATTCGAGAAAGAAAACGCTTGAGAAGGCTCTATCAACGAACTCTTTTCCCAGGAGATAAAATTGCGGCAAGAAGGATGGACAACCAAGTCAAACAGGCCATCATTGATCACCGATACGAAATGTGGGAGTAGCTGTTGGAATCCCTCACCCATTCACGGAGAGCGCGGAGTGTGCTACTCCCTTGCTGACAAAGCGTTAGCCTTTGCTGATACGATGGAACGTCAGTTTCAACTTAACGTTGACGATAATGACGACATCGACATGCTGTTGGAAGACCGGGTTCACCGTATCCTCAGGGAAGATGACGATAGGAACATCCGTCCAGCTTCTGTGGAAGAACTGAAGGGTTACATCTGACCGCAAAGGCCAAGAAAGCTCCGGGGGCCGACTCAATAACCAACAAGTTAATGAACATAATAAACAGTTCGTTGACCCTCAGATACTTCTCCAGAAGGTGAAAGCATGCGATCGTCGTCATGATCCTAAAACAGGGTCAGAACCCGCAGTTCTCCCAGAACTATCGCCCGATTAGTCTGCTCTCGTCGGCGGCTAAACTGGCTGAAAGAGTACTAAGAGTAGTTCTGCAAGACTCAACGAAGGAGTTGAGGACCGAAATGTTCTGCCTGACGAACAATTCGGCTTCAGGAGAGAACACTCCACTGAGTCACAGGCTCTGAGACTGGTCGAAAATACCATCGCAGANAGGTAGAAAAACTACAACTAATTATTTAATTCGCAGTTATATGTACTTCCCGACGATAAATCAAAGTATTAGAACTCAAATAACCCACTAGAATAAAGAAATAAGTACAAAGGAAATAGAAAAAGAAATTGCACACCTGATTCGATCTTCGCAGCTCGACAGTTCCATGGTCAATGGATGCTTGTAACAAGGAGTTGTGTTTTTTTCCTGGTGTGACTATTGGGTCAACAGAAATAAACAGTTGAGTCGATAATAGTAGTCTATTCAATAAATTAATCTTAAATCAAAATATAGTACTCTTTCATTGCGATTGAAGGCTGTGTGCAAAAAATTTGGCCAGAATGATGGTTAGCGAGCTTTCAAAGGCGGAATTTTGGTGCGAGTAAACATGTTCGACAAAGAGGTTCGAACGAACTGCCACCATAATGGTGCGTTCTTTTCTATCGTATTCTCCTTTAACGTGAAATTAGACTTTTCAAAGCTCAGCAAAACCACTGTTTACGAAAAATTTGTTCACACACAAACCATAGAAGTAACCTTTTATAGAGATAAACCCATATCATTGTTTTAGCAATGAAACAACGCTTATTTTGATATTAGATTGATTTATTGAAAAGATAGATGTAAATAACTAGACTTACCTGCTTACACCTGTCAACCCAATAGTTAAGCCAGGAAAATAATAGCCAACCCAATGATTATGTACTCTACGGACTTCATATACTTTGAAGTTGTTCATTGATTGCATGAGTGTAACGTTCAAAGAAGTAATTTTTTGGAGATTTCATTTGATCATAATCTAGTCAAGATTTTTTTGACGACCTACTCGCAATTTATTTTTAATCCAACAAATTTGTAATTTTCTAATTGAATGAACATTTAAGAAAATTTTTAAGTTATTTGAATTTACCGCTAAAATGTAGGTCCCTTCAATGTCTCTTCTGTAAGGATTCTGTGGTATGAGCTTGGAAAAAAGGTTTTAATAAGAATCTCTCGTGTCAGTTGAAATCAGACTCCTGACGTTCGAAAGAGAAAAAAAAATCATGATTTCACTTTCTGTAATTCAATTCGAAAATTCCAACTTTCAACTCAAAATTCAGACTTTTTCTTTATTTCAACCCAACCTAACTCGACTTCATTCACAAATCACATTAATCCGAGTTTGAAGCTGCAATTTCAGAATTTGAAGTCTAAAATATTAATGAAATATATTATGGCCCTCCTATAACTGAAAGATATTTTCAAACCAGAAAAAGGGGTGTAAATATATTATAACACGGGAGCCAGGTTGCAAGAACGGCTGGACCGATTTTAATTTGTTGAATTTGTCTATGCATGAAATAGTAAAATAACTATTAAAATATGTTTGAAACTCATTTGTAACCCATTTGTAACTCATGGCAAAACTTTTTCATGATATTTAATTGTTGGATTTGTCTTCACCTGGAATGCAAAATAATTACCAAAAACATTTGCAAAAAACCACAAAAAAATCAAAGATCAAACAAATGAGAGCAATCACAAAAAGTCTTGCCACGAGAGTGCATTAAGCAGCCTAAGGCCAATTCTCGTGGTACGTTCGTTATCTATATGGATAAAAGGAATTTATTTGAATTAGGCGACGAGGAGCTAAGAAATCTTTTGAAGAAGGGATATCTTATCTTTAACCAGCTATACTAGGGTGGAAGGTATTGAGCGGTAATGTGACAGGTACTGCAGCCTTGTCACATCTTATTTTTTATGATCTTAACAGAAATAGTCGTGAGTGTTATAGGTGTTACCATTTTTAATAATCCTTGAGAACTATAAATGAAAAATGTGTGAATTTGAAATATTCAGATGAACTACTCGTGGTTTCGAAACTTATCTTTCGATCCATTTAACTACTTCTTTTCATTTCAGACCAGAATAATATGTTCTCTTTACATATTAGTATATATAAATTTTTTGAATCCGGAACATTCCGATGAAGTTTTGAAACTTATTATTCGATTCATTAAAATATTCCTGGAAAGTCATCTTCATTTGAAGTATGTTGGAGCCCAACTCCCTTACGACTGATGCTCGTCAGAAGAACGAGCGGGTCAAGACCGATTATTTGGCGGCATGAGAGTCCTCAGACATCGTTACCGCCCTTCACGGTGAACCCCTAACTGGCTGGGGTGTTTGGATGAAGATATTGTTTATCTTCTAACAGAGGACATGAGGGCCTCATTCAACAGAGTGTCTGGGCCTTCTATATCGGGAGGGGTCGCCCCTCATTCAACAGAGTGTCTGGGCCTTCTATATCGGGAGGGGTCGCCTATATAATCCATAGCTTCCCTGACTAACAAAATATTCCTTTTCATTTCAGGACAGAATGTTTCTTTACATATTAGTGTTTCTATATTTTTTTAATTCCATATTCATTCTGTCAAATTTAAAAAAATATTTCTATTTTTACTGAAAATATTTTTCATAATTTGTTAATTGAATTTTTATTGAATTCGTTTCTTCTCTGATAAATTCCCTTACCAACTCGTGATATTTTGGAATAAAATATTTTTTGCATCCAATAAGCCATTTGGCAAGGATGTTTATTTGGAAATTTGTTATCGTAACTGCTCACGGGCAAGTTATCAACACCCAATTTATATACCAAAACCTAAAACAATCCAAAATCAAACATCCATCTTTAGGTATTCAAATAGCTGTTTAAATGTTGAACTGTCATCTCAACCTCTCGTCCTCCAAAGCCTTTGTTAACGTTCAGTTTGTTAGATAATGACAATTATCATGGTGTGTGGTACTTCAAGTTTTTTTACTAAACATTGAGGCTGGAGGTTGGTATATTGTTGGATATCTTCATTTAATCTTGAATTTCATTAAAGTTCCCTGAACACCAGCGCCACTCGTGGTTGACCTATGAACATTCAGAAAAATATCACAATATAATTAAAATTAAAATGCATTTGATGTCTTGATGTTTAATTTTCTGATCAACAACGACATATCAATAAAAACAGCTCGTGGAAACCACTGGATAAGTACTTAATTCATTTTAGGCCCATCACCAATTTTATTGATAGTTAAGTATGTGTAAGAAGAATAATGGCGTAACAGGGCCGTAATTTTTCTCAAAAATATCACTCAATTCAGAGTTTGAATTTATTGAAGATCCGAGTTTGAACCTCATATAACCTAAACTTACCTCTAAACCTGACTGAGATCAAGTTCATATTTCCTATTGGTCTCATATTATTGGAAGTTTGATAAAATCGGAATTATATAATTCTTACATTCAAGTCAGAATTTCTGAATCAGAACTAAAATATAATTTCAAGGTTAAAGTTTGAATATCCTAGATGAAAGTCGAAAAAGTATAATATTGATTTTTATGTTGTGAGATTTATCTTAAAAAACATAATTTCAAGTTAAAGGGCAGAAAAATTAAACAAATGGTGTGGTCCTTCTATTCTATACAAGCCTTCATAAATTAACATTTGTACATCTTAACAAAAAATGAGAAGTTATAATTTTTGTTATTAACTTAGAAAATCGATGATAGGGGGACATTCCTAAAATTATGGCGTAGTCAGGTTCAATTGGTTGGGTTCTGCTAGCTTAACGTTAAGCTCTCTTGTTAGATGAATAACAAAAAATTTGTAAGTAGAGTGCAGAATTAGCTTAAAATTTTTGCTTGGAAATAAATGTAAAAGTACAAAGTGGTCAACAGGGGTGTAGTAAAAAAATTCTTCAAAGAGGAATTTGAAGATCAACTGAAAATTCTCCCTCACAGAGGTAAGTCTACATAACTTCAATGATTTATAAAAATTAGGAAAGTCACTGATAATGTTACAAAGCTGGTTCTCTCAAATCTACTTCTGCTTTCACAACCATCATAAAGTAACTTTACTTGGTAATTGTTTACCATTCTGTAGATTCACAATCACTTAATACTATAAATCAGCTAGTCCTCGTTTATGAAATTTGTTTTCCACAACATAATAAATCTGTCACTTCCTCCAGAAGCAAAATATTTTCCATCAGAACTGAACTTGCAACTAGTTACAATTCCTTCGTGTCCGCCTAGGGTGTACAATGGTCTTCCTTCCATTACATCTACAATACGAATCTTACCATCTTTCCCGCAACTTGAGAAAAAGTTTGCTGTTGGATGCCAAGACACACAAGTGGTAGAACCCTCATGAAGAGTATAATGCTGCTGAAGTTTTTTATTTCGTAAATCATATACTCTAACGGAACCCGAGTCCATAGCAACTGCCACTGTGTTGTTGTTAGTGTGAATTGACAGATATGTTGGACTACTACTTTGGCTTACAAATACATGTTCGCACTGAGAAGTTTTTGGATCCCAAACTCGAATAGTGCGATCATCAGCGCCAGACACAACAAAGTTTCCCTCAGGGGAGTATTTAGCACACCTCACCCAATTATTATGTCCTACAAGACTAGAAATAAACTGCCTCTTTGATACATCCCATACTTTCACAGATTTGTCATTGGATCCTGTTATTATTTTTTTGTTATCAGGAGAGAAACTAACGCAGTTAACAGCTGAAGTATGTGCTTTGAACACACATGTTTCACCTCTAATTGTTGGTACCCAAAACCGAACATTTTGATCCTTGGAACTGGATGCTAGTAATTTTCCATCTGAAGAAAATTCTACACTGGTGACAATGTCATTGTGACCTGAGAAATTGTAACTTCGAATATTCTGGTCCATATTCCATATCATTAAAGAATTATCTTCACTGCTACTTGCAAATTGTTTGGTGCCTGGGTTGAAACACACATCTGTAATCGACTTTTTGTGTCCTTTAAGACTCATAACCAGACATGGGTCTTCTGATACGGTTGAATTTAGACGTGTCCAATAGTTCCTTTTATTTCAAATATATTATGTTCCGTTCAGTAACTCACTAATAGATGACACTAGTAGAATTTAATTTTCACTTTCAAACCTGTTTGTTTTCTGTTTGAAAACAACAGTTTTAAAGTCAACAAGGCTATCCAATTCATATAATCCATATCAAATATAATTGCTAGAAGTTAAAACATATGCAGTATCTAATGATTTTACAAATACTAGAAAAATTAGGCTTACAATGAAACACTTCAGATCTGGAAGAAACAAGAAATATCCACCTAAAAACACTTTGCCGTCGCCATAGGGGGATGGTCTAGCCAAAGACCAAAGAAATTAAAATGGCAAATTTTAATGTATAATTTTTCACATTAGGTATTTGGGAGGGTGCACCAGAAGGTGAAATATTATATGTCCCAAGATTATTTGGAAAAACAATGGCCATTTGATTTCATTTTGGTGACTGCATAATTTATTCAGGTCGTGAATACTTAAATACCTCTTCTCCAAAGTTGCTGCAACATAACCTATAGTGCACCCACTTTCATTTGTTGAATACTTCATTTTGGAAATACATTTGAAGGGATCTAATGACATGAAATTTTAAATATAATTATTGAATATATTTTTACCTTTTTTCGATGTTCTGTCACAACTCACTCACAATTATTGTCTTATAAAAGTACAAATACCTAGCACAAATAACACAAACTGATTACGAAGAAAATAATTGTGATTCTGATCACAATCAAAATCACAAAAATTCACTACTAATAACCTCTTATATGTCTATAAATTGCAACGCAAATGAGTACGTCACGAAAACAAAGCCTGTCAGAAACATAAAAATAATAATTTACAACTTTTTATTACAACACTTTCCATCTCAATCTTTTATCTCTTTTTTTGAGACCACGGTATTAGCAATCATTTACAACTTTTTTCTACAACACTTTCCATCTCAATCATTTATCTTTCTTTTGGAGACCACGGTATTGGCGCCATCTACTTTTCGTTTCCATCGTCCTCCAATGATAACTCCATAAGGTTGACTGACTATAAATCTATAGACAATGCCTATGTTTCCATTTGGAAACGATTCTTGTTCCATCTATCGACATTTGTACAAACTACAAAGTTGGGTCAATCTCATATCTCGCGTCGAGATATTTTGACAAAACAAAACATCAGGGTATCTATGCATCTTTCCATATGATCTTTTGCAATATGATCATTACTGCAATGAATCGCTTTACAAAAGTCAAATAAACCAGTGTCGGAATTGGGGACACTTTTAAAAAACAAATGAAAAGCGTGAAAGGCGAAACAGGAAACAAATGATTTGACGTGATTTCTTGAATCGACATTCTTTTTTATTTATGAACCGATTGAAATGAATCAAAGGCTGAATATTGAATGAAGCTCACCACAATGCAGTAAGACACACAAATCGGATCAGTAATTTTTGATATTATCGCACACAAAAGCTCAGACAAACCCACAAATGATCAAAAAATCAGTTTTTGTGTTCTATCGCGTTAATAAATGAAGACTTCCAATGATATTTTTTCTTCCCTGTGTAGACAGCGATCACTTCACACTTTCATTACGCCCAGCATCCAGGGCAAGTTGTTATATTTATTAATTATTTGCTATCAAAAGGACCGGTTGATATTTGAACATAACCCAGGTTTATTTATGAACATATTCTAAGTAGATGTTTGGACGCGTTCAACCAGAATCCCCATCGCATCTAGAAACAAGGAGCTACACAAGCTGAGCCGAATAAACCCGATTCCTACAGTCACGAATTATGTCTTGAATGATTCACATTATATATTTCCTATTTGTTACTCTTTTTGAACAATGTATGTTAAATGCTGGAGTTTTTTGCCCTGGTTTGACAGACTAACCTTACATTTTATTTTTATTTCGAACACGAAAAAATTTTCAACCGAAAATATTTGTCATGGAAACAATTTTTCAAAATCATTAAGGGTCTACTTTCAGTCATTTTTTGTAGTTTTTGTAGTGTTCCTGTGTATGTATCTTGATCCTTATTTCAATTCCATTACTGTACGAAAGTAGTTGTTTCAGATTGATTTTTTTCCAGTTTGTATTCGAAACTAACTTCTGGACATGATCTACATTAGTTGTGAAGAATTCTCATTTCAAATTTGATTGCTTTCTTACTTCATTTGGAAGTTTCCCACAATTCATGTATGGAGATGAAGAAGTAAAAACTAACCTCTACTAAAAAAATATATCTTTCGATTATTTACTGTAATTTTTCTCTTGTACTTAATGATTCTTTAATCACTGAAAAAGTTCCACGTGACCTAAAAACTGTGTTTTCATATGTACCTGAGTTGAATCTACGATATTATGGATTATAAGTTGTTGAAAGAGTTATTGGCAACAGGAATTGCCATCCAATTTCCTTGTGGATTGATGTCAGAAGGACTACCATATGGATACCAAAACAAAGTTTTTTCACCTTAAAATCATCACGTAAATAATTATTCATTTCATATTTTATTCCTTTTCTTCTTTCGATACTTACAGTAAATGCCATATTTAGGGTGAGTGCAGTAGGTGTTTTTGTAATAATTGAACATCATATTCACGGTGTAGGTCATATTCAGGTATCATCTCATATTCTGTTTGTTGTCAGCTTTGCGTATATGCATTCTATATACGTACAAAGGGTTAGTGTTTTAAATTTAATTACTTTTTGAAAGTTTGGTTGACAAAATCATGAAACAATGTGCTTTCCGAACACAGAATCCAAATTTTTATAAGTTTTTGTACATAATAGAACTATTGATTTTTTTATAAATTCTGGTAGCATATTATGTGGGCGAGGTAATTTGAACATCGTTGTCCAATTGTTTTTTCCGATCTAGGTATCTTGTTTCGTTTATTCCTGGTACTATAAGGCTCGATCCACAATATGATGCCGTTCTCGGTCCGATCTCGCTCCGGTCTCGGTCCGTTCCCGGTCCGGTAAAGTAATCTCATACAAGAAAGAATCCGAGTATTCTCACTATCGTATCGCTCTGGTTCCGATCCGGCATCGCGTCGGCACCGGTTGGTCGAAAAGAATATTTGACTGGAGCGAGATCGGACCTGTCATGACTTGTACCGATAGTGTGAATACGTTTTTGTTTCAACTCCAGTGTTTCCTCGGCTTTGCAAGGAGACGTTACATTTTTCTTCTAGTCTTGGCTGGTAATAAATTGTGGGATTCTGAAAAAGGTAAGTACTTTATTTGAGTTATTTATAACATTTGATCATAAATAATAAACTTCACTTCGTCGTCTATCAAATGACGATATAACGCCTTCTTCTTTTCTCGTTAGTAAACTGGGATGTATCCACATTCTTCTTCTTTTTTTCATTTTATGTTGTATTTTTTTTTTCATTTGTATTCTGTTCGTCCAAACTAATAGCTATTATCGCTAATTCTTCGACTGAAAAATTAAATGCCATTTTGTGGCGAGTACAATTTATCGAATTATATCCAGAAACGTCCTATGTCGACCATGGATCGAGACAGACTGAGTGTGGAACTAGTAGTATAGACACAGCGAGATTTGATCGGACCGAGACCGGAGCGAGATCGGACCGAGAACGGCATCATAGTGTGGATCGAGCCTAATTGTGATCGACAGATTCAAGTTGTATTTCATTGTTGTTCACATTGGCTCGATCCACACTATGATGCCGTTCTCGGTCCGATCTCGCTCCGGTCTCGGTCCGATCAAATCTTGCTGTGTCTGTCTACACTACTAGTTCCACACTCAGTCTGTCTCGAACCATGGTCGCCTTAGGACGTTTCTCGAAATAATTCGATAAATTGTACTCGCCAAAAAATGGCATTTAATTTTTCAATCGAAGAATTAGCGATAAAAGCTATTAGTTTGAACGAACAGAATACAAATGAAAAAAAAAAATTACAATATAAAATGAAAATAAGAAGAATGCGGATACATCCAAGTTTACTAACGAGAAAAGAAGAAGGCGAATATCACACGTTATATCGTCATTTGATAGACGACGAAGAAAAGTTTATTATTTATGATCAAATGTTATAAATAACTCAAATAAAGTACTCACCTTTTTTAGAATCCCATGATTTATTACTAGCCATGATTAGAAGAAAAATGTAACGTCTCCTTGCAAGATCGATGAAAGACTGGAGTTGAAACAAAATGTATTCACACTGTCGTGTGACACCTTCAGACTAATGCTCGAATGTCTTTCACCTTATTAGTCAATTCGCACTGCATTTTCCTAACTGGGCTGTCTCTACTATTTAGACGGAAGTGATAATGTATTCACACTGTCGGTATAAGTCATGACAGGTCCGATCTCGCTCCAGTCGAATATTCTTTTCGACCAACCGGTGACGGCGCGATGCCAGATCGGAACCAGAGCAATACGATAGTGAGAATACTCTGATTCTTTCTTGTTTGAGAATACTTTACCGGACCGGGAACGGACCGAGACCTGAGCGAGATCGGATCGAGAACGGCATCATAGTGTGGATTGAGGCTAACTAATGAGTTGATGCAGTAAGCCTGCCTCACGTCAAATACATTGACCTCTTCTTCCAATGATAATTTTCAGTATCCATTTCTGAATAACATTGAGCATTTCCAAGTGATAGTCGTTAACACCTCTCCAGCCAATTATACCATAAGATATGTGTGACTTGATAATTGATATTTTCACAGTAAGAAAGATTGCTTGCTGCGTCTTAGTCAAACGAATGAAACATTCCTCTCTGACACGCACTGATTGAAATCAGTCAAGTGTAATCGCCCAGAAATTCAATCTTTCACGAAATGTTTCATACTTTGAAATTCCTATTTCCTTTCTGAGAATATGCAACTTTATGAAGTCTGAAGGTAGCGGAAATTAAGCATAGGAGCCAATTTATTTTCTGCGTATTTTCATGGCAATTTTATTTGTCATCCCCATGTCACT